GACAAATACGGTAACCCCAATTGTGGGTTGAGTGTAGAGACGTGTATAAACATGCATTAGTATATGTCGGTGGATTCTCTGAAATGCACTTGCAGATTTCAATGAAATTTGGTATAAACCTCTGTAAACTGAGAACAGACTTCTCAAAGTAGAGTGAACCAAGTGAGTATTGGTCACCAGATCCGGAAGGAGAATAACACACTGGAGAGGAGCACTTGTAGGCAAGGTGTTTATTGCTCAACTGCTAGGCCTGGAAGTGAGTCTAAATACTCATGAGATGTTCTATACAATGTATCAATATCATTATGCAAATAACTAAACTAAACGTCATAGCCTCAAATCATTACAACCTCACATAGTGAGCTACTTTGTTTTGTGGTTTGATTCTATTTACTAGTTCTTGTAATTTTTGTTTTTCTGGGTCAAAAAAATCTTGTAACAGGTTATTCTCTGTCTTCCCCAATGTATTGTTAATTAATTTTCATTTTTACAAATTTATTTAAAACATATCAACTAATATCTGTAAGTGTAATCCTTGCATGAACTTTAATAATCATATGATTTTGTTTTTCTCTTACAGATGTAAGGTTCCTCAGAAATTATTTTGTATTGTGTTGAGTGGACAGCGATTGGGATGGCTTTATGGGCGAGATCGCAGCAGCTTCAAGGCGAACAGTTGAAACAAATGCAAGCATTATATGGTCCTCATTTCCCTATTGAAATTAGACATCATTGCGCTGATTGGCTGGAATCCCAACAATGGTACGTAGTACTTACAAAATTACTTGATTAACCCTTCGAACATCATATTTATTCTCTGTCAAAATTTCTGTAGAACATTTTTATTAATTCTTCTATAATTCTTTAGTACTGTAAAATCTGTATTAATAGCCGAACCTCCTCTAAAATGGTACAATGCAATGGAAGGGATGTGGCTTCTATTAGAGCATCTACACTTATGAACAATGGTGAATGTTTGGTCTCAATTGTTCAAAAAGAATGGGTGCGGCTTCTATTAGGAATGCGGCTTCTAATACAGATTTTATGGTAATTTTGGACATATTTCAAATGGATATAATTCACTTTATTCTATATGAATATCAAAAATATGTTTACGCAAATTATTTATTTAATACGCACACAGTAATATGCATATTGTAAAGGGGTTAATTATTCACTGGGTTTGAATTTTGCTTATATCACTGACAGGAAAATGCGCTAAATTAAAACCCAGTGAATATGTAAAATTTAGGATAGAACACAATATCTAAATGATAAAACAGTTAATTTAAAACCCACTGAATATGCCTGAAATGCTTAATCAGTGAAATTTAAACCCAGTGAATAATTAACCCCTTTACAGTACTACGTTGTGGAAAGTGACGAAAGTTGATGATGGTGGTAAAAGAGTACATTCAGTTATTAGGGTCATACTGGAGGCATGAATCAGTTTGCTATTGTAGCTTCTGGAGGTCGATCAACCTGTGATAAGCCAAGTCAAGCTTAGTACTAAAAGATTGCAGTGTGAATTATCATCGGCATGTGTGAATTTATGGTTTTAAAGCCTGGTACACAGGCTATCCTTGGCGGTTGCTGAAGCAACAAATCTTCAACATAAGTGTAACACTTTATCAGAAATAATACAATACTATTCGTGCATATAGAAGTGTACATGCTATGGCAATGCAGTCACACTAAACAGTATGTACGTGTGAAGCACTCTTAGTGAATATATAACAAATAATTGTATATGTGTACCACCATATGTCATCGTATGTTATCACATTAGCTTTTATTGCATTAACACAAGATATCACATGTTCTCACATCCCTGGCCACTGGGAGTGTGAGATTACCGGTGTGCGATCAAATTGATTCTACACTTTGTTTACATGCTTCTACATGAAATGGTTTTGCAAAACGATAATATTTGTAACCTTCGCGAAGACTCTAAAAATACTGTCCAATAATGCGATGCACAACATACGAACTGGATCGATAGTGTCCAGGTGCTGTCAATACAATGTTTATTAACATGGCTTCTGAAATAGCTAATTTTGCACCACTGGGAATTTCAATGTAGACAGACTTAGATGAATGCACATGTTAATCTAAATGTCATATAATTACCAAATGTTGAACCTCTATGAAGTATCATCATGAAAAAAAAAAAATGAAGGACGTGGAACATTTGGCAGTGAACTTGTGTCAGCAGAATTGGATGATCATGTACCATGCAAATGGAATGATGGCAACTTTGCTTTTGTCAGTCCCTAGAGAAAATATATATTTATTCATACCAGTTGTTTGTATGTAGTGAGGTTAAAATATATTATTCTTATCTGATTTCTATCTGCTTGGCACATTCAGCTGCAGACAACTATTACAACAGACTGCAACGCATATTGTTTATGGTGTTGCTTGGCTTAGTTGTATACCTACATGTATGCTATGTGTGCCACGCTCGATAGTATTGAAAAAGATACCACTGAAGTTTACTGAACACCGGATATTCTGCACATTCTTCGGAAATTGCGTATTTCTTCATGAAACAGATCCAACCATTTTCAAAACAACAGGAGATACGTTCTGAACATTTTGACCTTTGCAGCAGTGTAAGAATTTTAAGAATCGACCATCATTTAGGTTGAGTTACAAGTAACTGAATGTTCTAGTATATACCTCAAATAGTTTTTAAATATATAATGAGCAACTTTGAAACAATATTTCTCGCTGTTGCGGATTTTGTGGAAGGTTTCTAAAATTTTTCCAGGATGGGCATATCGCTGCCTTTTGAGCAATCAAAACACTGTGTGTTAAAGGTTTTGTTTTTGTGTTCAGGGTTGCTGAAACATCAAACTCATCGTAATGCAGTTATTGGTAAAAACTGGGGTGTGTTATTTTTGTCGCGTCTGACTTCATAGTATGTGATATACGCGTTTTTCGTAACTATTGTCATCAGATTCCCTAAATTCTTCCGGAAATGCCATTTTCGAATTTTGGTGTGGTCATGGAGGTAATAAGAATTACCGGTACCTATGTCTCGCGATAGTTGATTGTAATATGAACAGATCTCGCAACATTTACTAGATATGATAAGGACTGATAACCTACGTGGCATGTATTACTTCAAAAAAAAAAACGCAGCATTGCCAGTCTGTTTATTAGTTGTCTGAGATTCAGCGGATGATAGGGCGTACATTTTTAGCTCCGTTGTCGACTTTGTCGAGCGGAGCTTATCATATGGATGATTGTCCGTCGTCGGCGTCCATGTCAATGTTTTTCTTTTTCGACTTCTTCTTGAAAACTACAAGCCTGAATTGAATGCTTTGATACTTGGTGTATATGTACCTTGGGTAGACCTCTCTTAGATTTGTTCATTTTGTAATGATATCTTCAATTTTCTAATTTTGGTAAATATTTTTGTCATTTTTGGTAAAAAGTGAAATTTAGCTCCGCTGTCGACTTTGTCGAGTGGAGCTTATCATATGAGTGATTGTCCGTCGTCGTCCGTGTCAATGTTTTACTTTTTCGACTTCTTGAAAACTACAAGCCTGAATCTTTGATACTTGGTGTATATGTACCTTGGGTAGACCTCTCTCAGATTTGTTCATTTTGTAATGAAATCTTCAATTCTCTAATTTTGTTCAATATTTTTGGTAAAAAGTGATATTTTTGACTTCTTGTTAAAACCGCAAGTCCAATTGCTTTGATATTACATATATAGGTACTACATGTGGACCTCTCTAAGATTTGTTCATTTTCTAATGATATCTTCTGTTCTTTAATTGCAATGTGCATTGCTAACAGCGGAGCTATCTCAGCCGACAGGCTGCTTGTTTTGACTTCTTGTTAAAAACCGCAAGTTCAATTGCTTTGATATTACATATATAGGTACTACATGTGGACCTCTCTAAGATTTGTTCATTTTGTAATGATATCTTCAATTCTCTAATTTTGGTGAATATTTTTGTAATTTTTGGTAAAAAGTGATATTTTCGACTTCTTGTTGAAAACTGTAAATCTGATTGCTTTGATAATATAATATGTATAGGTACTACAAGTTGACCTTTCTCAGATTTGTTCATTTTGTGATGATATCTTCAGTTCTCTAATTTTGATGAATATTTTTGTAATTTTTGGTAAAAGTAATATTTTTGAATGCTTGTTAAAAACTGATTGCTTTGATACTATACATATTGTTCATTTTCGAATGATATCTTCAGTTCTTCAATTGAAATGTGCATTGCTAACAGCACAGCTATCTCAGCCGAGAGGCTGCTTGTTTTAATGTGGAATATACTTTGAGCCAGCTTACATTAACTCTATAAACATGTATCAAGTTTGTTTTCTCTTTTTAATAATATACAAGGGCCTGGGATGAGATTTTTCTCACACTTGTCAAATCATTGTGGATGATGTTAAGTCAATAATATGCAGACGAAAGTAATTGCTATAAAAAATTAATGTAGCTTTGGCAGCGTCACTGTGATATCTAAGTCAATGGGAAACTATGTCCATTTTGTTCAAAAATAACAAAGAAATTATAGAAAAAAATTCATTGCACCAATATTTTTGTTGTTAATATTATTGCTGATGATATTATCCCTGAAAAATAAAATCATTGTGTCATCTTGTGATAACTGAAACACTTTTCCTTGTAACAGTGACTCATCACCATTGTCTTCCCTGTGATTGGCTGTTAAAATTTCTGCTCTTTGAGTTACATGTATTAACCTCTCAGTATATTGCCCTCTGGTGACAAGAATCTTATTTGCTTTTGTTTTTATACTTCCTCTAGGCATGATTATGATATGACTAATCCTGCACATGAGCAGCATGCTAAGCAGTGTTTAGAGCAGTTACTGGCATGTGTTCGTCAAAAGAGTACAGATTCAGTGGATTTTGTAACAAATATGAGACTGAATGAGATTTATTTACAAGTAAAGGTAAGAATTTGACTCATGAGGGCGCTGTTTATATTGTCACTTGACCCTCTATAAAATTTGAATTCTACAAAGTTGTGATTTTTACTAATACTTGAGATTATGTCTCACAAATCGTGAGATAAAAATCAAATCAAAAAGAAATTCACTAAGGTGATTTTTAGTCCCCGTTCGGACGCAGTCCGAAAACGGGGACTTATGTTTTGTCCTGTGTGCGTCCGTGATCACCTGTATCTCGAACATGCATGGACCGATTAAGTTCAAACTTCACTCATACATCACACATTATATGGGACATATGCACATGCATTTTTTTCATGATCCGATTAACGATAGCCGAATAGCGGCCATTTTAAGGCCGAAAATGCATCAAAATCACACATTTTCACCATTCCGAACCCGGATCTCAGTTATGCATGGACGGATTTTGTTCAAATTTGGTACATACATTAAACATAATATGACCTTGATGCACGTCATTTTTTTTTTTGGATCGGGTTCGAAATGGCTGACTGGCGGCCATTTTGTTTTAAAGAATTCAGTTCTGGATCCGTATCCGAGACATGTCTGGATTGATCAAGTTCAAACTTCACACACACAAGGTACATCATGTCACAAATAGATATGTGGGACGTGTCATTGACAATGACTTGTTCGCTTTTATTTTGTGAGAACATTTTTTTTAGCTCTGAAAATTCATGTGATTTTTATAAAATCGGTCACGGGGAACACATATGATAAAAACAGCTAATTTATTATTAATTGTATTCCATACAATCTTACTCCTTAAAGATACAAGTTGCTGACGTTCAGAAAGTGTTATTCAGAGACCAAGTGATTGAGATTTCAGAAACTGAAATAAAAACTAAAGAAATTGCAACAACAGTGAACGCTAACTTGAAAAAGATGGCTTATCATGCAACTAATTTGTTCAAGACCCTTTGTTACTGAAACAGCTTTAGTCAGTATGCAGATTAAATCCATTGTCTTTATTCTGCAAGCAGCCTGGTCACGTAAATGTACGAAAAAATGTTCACTCGCAATTTGGTTTGTGAAAATAAACTAATATACATCAAGCGGAATAAAATTGGACCAACTATAAATAAAAAAAAATGCAATAAAATGCTACATAATCAAAGATTTTTTTAAAAATGTATGATTTCATTTCTCACTCTGTCGCTACCTCAAATGTTATTTTAATTGGCCAAGCTGTTCAAATGTCACATTATTGCACTTTGGATTATACAAAGTAGACGAAAATATTACTTTGATGGACACATGTGTTATGTTGAATCAAGCGTTAAAATCGGCTATTAAACATATCGCATATGTTGTATTACAAACACGTGCACTGACCTAATTTTCATGTGTTCGTGGATCAGAAGGTATTGTAAAATACTTTATTTTAGCTGGATTTAATTTTCGCTGAAAAGACTTTTTGTGTGTTTTTCATGGAATTTAATTTCACTGATTTTTGACGAGTTGGATGTAAAATATAGAAAACATGTATATTCACTGGAATTTATTTTCACTGAACCACTCCTTCAGCGAAAATGGCGAAATTAATTCCAAGCGAAAATAAAGCGCTCTACAGTATATCTTAGTTGGTCTACTGTAATTGTTCTGTTAGAATCACACATGTTTAAATTAATGACAGGTGTTTTGGTGATCAACTATAGCATAAATGCTATTCAGTATTAAGTATCATTCATTCAATAGAGCAACTATGGTACGAATGTAAGAATGAATAAAAATTGCGTTTACAGTAATATATTTACTTGGACACAATTTTGTATTTTCTTGTGTTAAGGAAATTAAAATCTCTTAATAGAACATGATACCAGGATTTTAAAATTACTAATTATTATGTCTAGATTGAAATGAAATAGAAGCTGTGTAGTGTCACTGTATTTTATGTCAAATATTGGTCAAATTATGTCAAAAAATGTTTCAGTCTGAGGTAATAAAGTACTTTTGGTTTGCTGCTAGGCCTTTTGTGGAATTGGATGATTAAATGTCATTCAGTAAGACAAAATTTCGCAAACGTTGATGACACTCCTGACAATTTTTACACTGGCTTGCGGTTTAAAGCCTTGCCCCTTATTTGAACAGGTCATGATGATATTATTACTTGTATCTACATTGCTAATGATCATATTTTGGTTAATACAGGAATTATTGAAAACCACTCATGTGTTGTGTTTTTATTTCCACAGCAACAGTATGATGCCAATCCTCTTAATCTTGTACGCATAATACAGCATTGTTTGGATACAGAGCGAGAGCTTGTGCAATCCACAGAGAATGTAAGTGAACTTTTTACTTGGTTTCTGTTTTTGTAGTAGTCATACTTTCAAACTTGTGAGCCTCTGAATGATACTAACTCTGTATTAACACTTCGGGTTTCTAAGTCAACTTTTGCATGTATATCGTTTCATAAGATAATCTTGTATATTATTTTCCATATTTGATCGAAAACTAAAGAAGAAAAAATCAAGACTAGTAGACAGTGAAAAATTGTCTGTTTGGTACAAAGAGATTGCAAAAAATGTTTTAAATTTTGCACCAACGAAGTTAGACTAACGCCATCGGGACGATTAATTTGTTTTTGTAGTTTAAATATTTATTCTGCCGGAAATTCATTGCTATTAAATATTCATGAATGCACATATTATAATGAGGTGGGCACGGAAATACGTGCATAATGAGGTCAACATGGTAAAGGTCACACTGCCGACGTCCTCTTGGTCAGAGGTCAGTTGAAGAGACGTTGTGATTTGCTTAGTTGATTGTTAATTAGAACACTCATTAACATAATTACCCGTTGAAAAAAATCGATGGGTTTCTGCAGTGTCGATAGAGGGCCATGCAGAATAAACCACTCCATTTCATGAACTTTTTTATTTTATTTAAACTACAATAACTTTGAATATTACCACAATAAAAAATGATTTGGATTTGAAAATGAACTTCTTTAGTGGTATCATGGAGATACATTCAAAACCACGACAACCATATTGTAATTGTTCATAGGGATTATTCCCATCTGTGCACTATTATCATGCAATGTACGTTAGTTCTAATGTGACAACAATACTCCACAGTGTGTGCTGTATTGGATGAAGAGTTGATTCTGTGCAAGATAGTGTCAGAGCATGGCAGACACACAAGTTAAACAATGTTTCTCAGCAAAATTTTGCTGCAATTTTGGTTTTTATGTAATTTTCTATATTTTTGGATAATTTTAGTTCAGATAGACATGATTCCTTATTAGTGTAAAATGACTAATCTTCACTGGGTTTAAATTTTGCTGATTCACCATTTCGGGCATATTCACGGTTTTATCATTTAGATAATGTTTTGTATGCTCAATTTTACATATTCACTGGGTTTTAATTAAGTGCATTTTCCAGTCAGTGAAATAAGCAAAATTAAAACCCAGTGAATAATTAACCCTTCTATAAGTAGTATAAGTCATTATGAAATAATTGTGTTAGTTTAAAAGTTTCGAATGTCGACTGTGGTTAATTATCAGGTTTTGTTTAGTTACATTCAATGTAAGACGCTATCATCCGAAACAAAAATATTGTTAATTAATTTTTAGCTCCGCTGTCGACTTATCATATGAGTGATTGTCCGTCGTCCGCGTCCGTCGTCGTCCGTGTCAATGTTTTACTTTTTTGACTTCTTCTTGAAAACTACAAGTCTGAATGCTTTGATACTTGGTGTGTATGTACCTGGGGTAGACCTCTCGTAGATTTGTTCATTTCATGATGATATTTTCAATTCTCTAATTTTGATGAATATTTTTGTAATTTTTGGTAAAAAGTGATATTTTTGACTTCTTGTTAAAACTGCAAGTCCAATTGCTTTGATATTACATATATAGATACTACATGTGAACCTTTCTCAGATTTGTTCATTTTGTGATGATATCTAAAATTCTCTAATTTTGGTGAATATTTTTGTCATTTTTGGTAAAAAGTGATATTTTCGACTTCTTGTTATTTTGGTGAATATTTTTGTCATTTTTGGTAAAAAGTGATATTTTCGACTTCTTGTTATTTTGGTGAATATTTTTGTCATTTTTGGTAAAAAGTGATATTTTCGACTTCTTGTTAAAAACAGCAAGTCCGATTGCTATACATACTATACATATTGTTCATTTTCTAATATCTTCAGTTTTTCAATTGAAATGTGCTTTGCTAACAGCGGAGCTATCTCAGCCGAGAGGCTGCTTGTTTTTAACATAATGTATTTTTTTTGCCTCTACTAGGAAGGCCACCAATCAGAAGGCATGCAGGAAAACAGCCAAACAGATCTCTATAGACAACTGGATTGTACATTCCAAAGGCTTTATCAAATGACTCAGGTAGTAAAAGTTGGTTGTCATGGTTACACTTTTTCTGTGCTGCAATTTGTTTCATTTCATCTGATCTTTTCTGTAAATTTATACAAAAAAGGACAGTTTCCATTCTTTACTGTTTTTGCTCAAATGTAGTTTGATTAAAATTTAACTGAGAGCAAAAAAATATAAAAGACTGCTTATCCATTTTGTTAAAGGTAAGATTCTAGTGTTTCAGATCAGAAAAATGTGGGTTGATTGTCAAACTTGTACAAGTATTAATAGCTTAACATTTTTCATGGATAATTTGTTTTCAGTGATATTTGGTACAAAGTTGCAAGTATTACTATTTTTTCTAATGAATGTTTGATTTACTCAAAATATTTCTGTTCTGTATTTTTTTAGGAAACTGAGGCTGATTTGCAGAATATGAAACAGAAGCAGGAACTGTTTGTTTTTCAATATCAGACAAGTTTAAAATTACAGAGTAAGCAACTGTTAATCTTTCAACCAGTTATAAATCTGCCTACAATAACTTGAGAGACTCCTTCTTTCAGAAATTCTATCTTTGACTGTAAAAAGGGTCGAAAAAATGGATAAAAATGTTTGTTTTGAGTAGTTTACAATTGGTTTTATGGATTTTATTATTGCGGTAATTCACTTCTGCATTGTGTTAAAAAAAATTGCATCGTCAACATGATCGTCAATAATCTGGAACATTTTGTCAGTGCGACACAGCTTTTTGATTGGTTTATGAAAGGCGTGATCTGTTGGGTCAAAGGAAGTTGCTTCAAGTCCAATTGTGCTGAAAACACCATGGCGGACATTGCTTTGCATCAAGAGTGTGTGTATGAGTGAAAACCTTGCACAACAAAGATAATAACATGTTTGTTTCATCATTGTGAAAGTGTCATGGAAATCAATGACGACTTGTTTGCATTTTCTTTCTTCAAAAAGACGTAATATCCTCCTGAGCCCTGTGTGGTGAACGAAAGATGTAATTTGGATAAATTTCGTGGGTTACAATGTTAAAAATCATTTTTTCTGTGGTGGTCCTCTTACTTTTCCTGATTTTACATGTTCAGGCCCCTGGGCTTTTGATCAGGGAAGTAAAAGGTATATCTTCTTGAAAACACATTCTTTGTTTTCTGTAAAATCATAAAATATGAATGACTTTCATGCATGTGAATCATTACACAACAATTTTTGAATGATTTACTGTTATCTTTTTTTCCCCCATGTTTTTAGTTTATGTCTCCATATCGAACCATTAGGTATAATATATAATGATGACAAACTAAAACAAAAAAATACTTAGACCACAGGACCACTTTATTTCTACTCGTCCTCACAGAAATATATGATAATGGGGAATGTTAAACTTTGATCCACCCTTCCCCATTAAAACGTTTGGTCCTGTAAATGAATATGACATATATCACTTGCAGATCAATTAAAACAACTTCAACAGTATCCACAGAATGATCCTAATAGGCAGGCAAGGGAGAAACAATTAATGGCGGAGAGAAAAGAGGTGGATACTAATTTACAATTGGAAGCACAGCAACTTTTACAGAACAGAATAGTAAGTACAAGAAATAAAATTGTATTTTATGAAAGTGCATTAGATAACTCTACTGTAAAGTACTATTTCCAAAATAAAAAGAGGTCTTTCTGCAATTTAACATATAAACTGGGACTTATTGATTGATCTCTGTGCTTGCAAGCATGCATGCATGCATGTGTGTGCCTATCTCTTAGACATGCCTGGATTGATTACTTTAAAGCTTCGCACATACATCATACATAATATCATACATATGCACGTCAATTTGTTTCATGATCTGATTCAAGATGGCCAAATGGCAGCCATTTTTGTGCTAAAAAATCATATAAATCAAGCATTTCAGAACCAAATCTTGGCTGTTTACAGATGAATTATGTTGAAACTTGGTACATA